GCACTGCACGGTCATGGTTCGAGTCCCGCTGGAAGTATAGATAAGGCCTAGGCAAGGTCGAAATCGCAGTCCACCCTGGATAAGAAAAACTTTTGAGAAAGCAAGGCTATGTGAAATTCAATTGAAACGTCAGCTATACTCATATCATTGTGGGAAAATTCAACTCCCAGTCCTTCATTACCATAGACAAAACAGGGTTAATATATCTCGTGTTATTCCTGTTGACCATTAATTTATATTGAACGTTTATTTATGCTTAAAGCGAAATTTAGATGATGATTAATTATTTGTGATAATGCTCGAGTCCCAACTAGTGAGCTTTATTTTAATTCTCATTCTTGAATCATCATATAAGTTATGCTTTTAATGAGATTATCAAAATATCATAGGTCTTATCAACTGTACTGTAATAATATATTTTACCCTGAAATTTCAGCACATGCGGACCCTTTGTGTACCCGGAAAGCGACTCACCGCGTTTGCCTGGGAAGGAAGCGGATCGCTGCGTCTGGCTCTTGCAGTTGACTCATTCATCTACTTTGCCAACCTTCGGCCTGCCTACATCTGGGCCTATTGCCCGACTGCGAACAGCCTCATCTATTTGCTGGCACCTCAACCCATCGTGAAGAATGGAGTCGCACCCTCGGGTGGTGCCTGCGACCTGATGGCTGGCGATGCAAGTACCGGCCCGGCCTCGAGCTCAGCATCTGCCAGCTTTAGGGCAAATGCTGGACTAGAAGGAGGGGGCAGAATAGCTGGAGTTGGTGGGGCCAGTTGTTTGGAGTCTGGTACCCCAGAGCCACACTGCATTGTGGCGTCAAAAGGCCAACAAAGTGGAGCTGGTGTTAGTTCAGGAATAGCAGAATCTAGAGTGAACTTTTGGAATGTGAAAAACAATAAAGTTAGTGATAATGAACTTCAAATGAGTAAAGCAGCATAGAGATTGGCTTTCAGACTTAAAAGTCCTCAAATATAACCTTAAGACTACTAGATTTTAAGGCAATTAATTGTTTGAGTATACTAGTATGCGC